CGCGTTTGCTCAAAAAAATACGAACAAAATCACTTGATCAATGCCGAGGTTAATAGAAAGTCGGTCGTGGCAGTTACAAAATCTTCGTTTAACCGACGACATCGTCACCTTCTCAAGAAGCACCGACGAACCAGAGACAGTGATTAATGAATTCAACGAAGAGAGAAAGGAGATCGGACTACCCATAAACCCGAAGAAGACACGGCTGATAAAATACTCATGGTGTGAGGGTGAACGGGTCAAATTAGATAATTCTCTAAACTCAGAGACCAGCTTCAGAGACGTGTACCTTGCGCGTTAAATGAGCATGGAGAACAACATGAAAAACGAATTAGGCACATGAAGTAGAGTAGCTGGGGTCGCATTAGGGTCTGTTAAGAAAGCCATTTACGAACTAAAGGACCCAAAAATACGCTCTCATTTTGTCAACTCCACAGTCCTCCTATCTTTCTTCTATGTAGCAGAGAGGTGAACTGATACTTCAACCACACTGAGAGAACTGCACACCACGCTTGAGCGATCTCTTCTGAAATGTAACTGGTGACGCTCACAGCGTCTAGCTGGGAAACAGCGCCATCGTTTAGGATAGAAGAACGGATATATTATTTTGAGGTCTCATTGGAAAAAATATGAGTGTAAGGAATTTAATTTAATCTAATTTAATAGGCACCAATTTAAATTAAGAGCGACCTGAACAGCCGATGTCGATTAGGGAGTAGTACCTATTAGAAGATCAACGCATCGCCCCGAATAGTTTCCTAAAAAACGAGCGCTTCATGGCTTAAAGTCTCCTATTTTGTTCACCATTCATGGATCCAAACTTCAAAAGTCGGTATTTGAACTCTTAATCATTAATTTGGGATGCGAGGAGACGAGTCGAATGTGAGAAGTTCTGGATCCCATCCGCAAGTAGGCGTGTAAACCAGTTATATAAAAAAAATAGAAATAATAAATCAACAATTTATTTGCTCGGCAGAGTTTCCCGGCAGTGCCCAAATTCAACCTTCTGCTAACCAAATTTGCGCTCTCTCCTATCTTCTTCCAGATCTATTCATTACTACATCTTTTACGGAGGCATTCCCTTAATCCTTTTCGCTCAACACGTCGATTTATAGTGTTCGGACTAATAGAATACCGCAAAGCACGTGCATTTAGTGTGATAGAGGTTATTATTTATTTTTATGCATCTAATTGCTATTCCAGAATGTTCAGAGTTAATGAGAGGTCGAAGAAAGAGTTGGAAAGAAGACGAAACATCCTTAATTCTACAAAATTTAAACTCCATGAAGTTTCCGTAGTGAATAAATTTATAGGATTTTAAGAAACCGATATACTAATATTTTCATAATTGTATTAAATTAGCGCTCCTACTAAGAAGTTTTATTCTAATTAGTAAAATGCTTTGCAATGCACAATAAAAATTGAAACGATTTAATGATTATGAGGGAATACTTTCCTTTTTCTTTCAAAATTTCAATCAATAAAGGGAATTATTCGCACATTTTTGTCTATAGTCACAACCTTTGAAAGGTTCTTAACTGTTTCCAAGGTTATCAATGGTGAAAGTAGGGCGATTATCGTTTTCCAACGATGTCTCATCCTCAGATTCCATAGAAGAAATTGACTGAGTACGGTGTTCCGGCTGAAAACTTATCATCTTTTACCAGCTCTAACAGGTACGGAACTATATGTTATTAGAAATGATAAAGAGATTGAAGACAAACTGATCAGTGCTAATCAACCCATGTGAGATACGCCATGTACTCGACTTCATTCATGGCATCGCCAGAAGTGATTGAATGCGTATCTGGCCTATACAAGACTCGCGATCACCTACTGAAGTATTAAGCTCCTTCCAGACAATGCTGGTATTGATTTCCTGATCCTAGGAGGCTGAGGGGCCTTGCTGGCCCGCGTAGCGATATCGAAACAAGGATCGACGTGGTGGGTATATCAGAGCGCCAATTGTCACCTAGCTACACGCTCCTCCGTATTCTAGCAGCAAGATTTTTTTTATGACAAATATCCCAAGCCCTATGGAAGAGTGAGACACTTGAGAAGGGAATGGCAATCGTAGGATATGGAGCTAAATCGAAACTGTACCAGAACGAATGTTATCGTATTCCTTTTCATCTTCTGTGTATCACGGACAACTGGGACGATGTGTATTGGAGCAGCGATGGTAATGAGTTCAGTCACAATAATAATAATAATAATAATAATAATAATAATAAGAATCAAACAGTTTAAAACAGCTGTACTTTTATATGACTGACTGCAAACTACTACAAATTGCTCATTCTTTCCCTCAGAAAAAGGAGGTGCCTCTTAGATTAAGCACTGTTTAGTAATCAAAAAAGAAACATTTGAGTAGTTTCAGATTTACACCAACAGACGAAAAGTCGAGCAGATATGAAAATTTGATCTGCTTTTACTTATATCGTGTCATAGTTTCAGCCGTCTTTTCGTCTGAACCCAGCTCCACCCATAATGGGTAATCAGATTCTTCGGTTTGCAAAACTTGTTATTTCGATCCATTGCAAGGAGAGGTTTTAAGCATAGCAGTTTAAAAATTTGTATCAGAAATGCTTTAGAAATCGTAGTGGTAGGCCGTAGCAGCAATTTCACATGTACTTTGTCGGAAAGCTGCTCCCTTCACGAGGAAGAGTGGACGCCTCAGAACACTACGGACTTGACTGACATTTTGATGTTTGGACGGGATTTTTCCCCTTAACTTCCGAGAACTTCGTTAGAGGATCTTCTTTGCAAGTAACACCACTCGCTTGTTACTAGTGGTTTCAAAGGACGACCAAAGGATCGAAGGTCGAAGTGGAACGATTCATAACTCATCCAATACATACAGAATGGAGCTGCCGTTTGGGAAGCCGGATCATATAAGTCACATATGACTCATAGTGAGCGTAGATTAACCCTACAATATCGTGTGCAAATGGGGATATCCATTTAGGGTCGTTTCACGGGATAGATCTAAATAATTAAATAAAATAATTATAATTAATAATAATAATAATTAACAATTATAATAATTAATAATTGATTAATTAATAAATAATAATAATAATTAATAATAATTAATTAAATCTACGTATTTATCGAACACAGATTTACCTTTTTGGTAGCTTTTTCGAGGAACTGTACGCAATCATCGTGTTTGAAGAACCGAGCGTCGTCAAGAGCAGAACGACCCCATCTGAAGCGAGATACTCAACTGATAACACCGAAACATCTGTCGATTTTTCTAACAGCTGAATTCAGAGTTTTTTCGTGTGTTGGCGCAGTTTTTCATTGCGGTCCCACATTTTGTCTATATCTCTACCTCTATGTATTTAATAATTGACCTAGTTGAATTAGGTACAGCCGAAATTCAACAAAAATATGACACAGAGGATTCTAAAGATTGCAAAAAATGAAAGAATAGTGCTTAGAGAGGGTTTTCACCAAATTTAACAAGAAAGCTATACAAGTTCAAAATTTTGCAGGGCGTAAAAACTAGAAGTACTAGAAAGGAAAAATATTTTTGAATGAAGAGAGTGAAAGTAGAGAGGTAACGGCAGATTCCTGATAACTGGTCCTAAGATCTGATATTTTCCCTTGGTCAGGAGAAGTTAAGTCGTAAATACCGCTAGATTTTCCTACGACAATATTCAGGAAGACGTAGCAAAGCCTTAAGATGGGACGTCCCGATTTTTTTGAGAACTGCGTGACTTCGTATTTTGACGCATCTTACCGGTCTTGCACGTTCACGTCAACTTTGGCGACATTCACAAGAAATTTCACCATGGTGAGATCACCTTCACAGGAAGCGACATGCAAAGGTGTTCGCCGATCGTAGTCACATGCCGAAAGATCAACACCTTGCATGTAGAGCCTAAATATAGGTTTTTGAGATAGGATAGAGATCAGATTAGTTAGAAACTGCATATTGTGATAATAGAATGAATATCGATAAGAACATATGCCATCGTAGAGATTTTTTAAAGCAAAGAATTTACATTTGGTTTGCTAAATATGGCCGGATAGGTTTCACGTTCCTGACAGCGAATTCTTTTCAACTGTTTGTTCTCTAATCGCTTCTTGAAAGTATTCCTCAGTGTGTATGAAGTCATATATACAAGAAAACGGTTATATCCTGATGTTGTCTGCGTCCTAATAACAAAATGCTTAGCAGGAAGCACATCTTCACCTACTCTGTCAATACCGGTCACTTCATGTGGTGACGAGATGGAGGAATTGGTAGCATAGGTACTTTGTGAGACTTCATGGAAAGAAACTTGAGAAACCAGGAAATTATTGATGATATGAAAACTGCTTTCTAGTAGACATGACTTTTGTGAAAACTGCTCATTAAAATGTTCAAGTCGTAGCAAATGCTGGCCCGTTTTCATCTTTGGTTTTCAGAAAAGTGGATGCTAACGCAACCAAAATAGTCCCTGAATGTCTTTTTTCGATCGATTATGGCAACAACAGAAGCTCTTAATCGATTAAAAAAAACGGTTTGCAGTAATAAGTTAAACTAACTGGTTAATTCTGAACTGTAATAAGGCCATATGTCTCCCACTTGATTTTTATTTCGCTTTAACTGAATGCGGGAAAAAACTTTAGGCTTTCGTTAATTCTTCAGGGTGCATAGTGAATTCGATTTAGCTCGCTAGGTCGTGGAGATACTGAGCTAATCCTTTTTCTGCGTTTTAAATGACTTAGAAGGCTATCGGGTATAAAGCTCTTAGCTGCTCAGACAAAATTGTTATCATTTTTTTTCGTTACCCCAAATGGATGGCAAAGTTCGACTGTAAGAGCGAAGGATTGCATGAATCTACGGTCAACTTCGCCGTGCGGGACACCTATAAGAAGACCACATGCATCTATTCAGTGAATGATGGTTGCTGGCTTTGAACTAACCAATACGCAAATTGTTTTAGTTAATTGGATAGGAATACTTACCGTCTTAAAGCCACCATATCCTTTGACCGAGCCACATTCATAGCTGGCAATACGTTGTCCCGTTCCCTGTGATCACGACGTCTTGGATCCACTTTATTCGATGTCGTATGAAGTAAGCAGTCGTAGTTGTGGAAGTTGAACTTTTCTATGAGTTTCTGGAAAAGGAAACATATTTTCTTCGGTTTGTCAACAGCACACTCTTGCTCCTTTTCTCAGTTTATCCCATAACTTCCTGATACTACTGTTAACAGCAAAATAGATCTTAATGTGTACTTGTGATGAGTATTTCTAGGAAAATTCTCTCAAATGACTCGAAAAACCCCTTTTTCAGAATAAGCGAAAATTTGTATGGTGATAAGTTCTACTCTATTAATCGACTACTAATATCTAACCTTCTTATTGCACTCCTAAGTAAATGAATAGACATACGATCAATAAGGCAGTCTGCTACTGATTTTTACACGCACATATAAATTACACCGGTAAAACTATTGTTGTAAATAATTTGCTCACTTTACAAAATGCCACTCCGCGAGAGCTGTTTCCCATTTTATCGAGCGGAGGTGACCACAAAGCGATACCCATCACATTCGGCACCACCACAATCATTCCTCCGGACACACCAGACTTTGCCGGCAGCCCAACCTATAGTGTCACTCAAATACGACTACGGTTCTGCTAGAACGAGCTAATAACCGTGCAGGAAACCCCTTTTTTCACGAAAAAGTTGGTAAAAACGAGTAAAAACAGAAGAAAATAGGTGGCGTTGAGACCCTGTGAGAAGATGGGGTGAGGAACAAACCGCAAAGGAGAACTGTCCCGAAGCATCGTACATACCACAGCTGTACATCAGCGACAACACGTCTCTGCATGGATTCGTATCGATACATTTCTCGTTCGCAATAGGACAGACACCTAGGAGGATTAATTGAACATCTAGAGTTTTTTGTGCTTTCTTTTATACTTTGATTTAGTTAAAAACTGGTAATATTTGACGGAATTTTTTGTTTGTTATTGCTTTCCGTATTCGACTCCTATTAACACATTCCACGAGACGGATTATGTCAAACAATCTCTGTAAGGAATTTCTCTTCTTTTGCAGAATCAGAATGCAAATGGTAGAATTCACTAGAATTAAAAGCGTTAGAAGCTCTTAATCGGATGTTTCGGCGTTTTCACCTTTCTCAGAACAACCTCATTTAAGTTAATTAGTTTAAACACATGTGCATTAGTTGTACTGAGGTTAAGAAGAAGTCGATTTTTGAAATATTGACAAGCCCAGTGCTGGATGATAATGGTGCCGACTTCTGCAGGATGGATTGCCCGGAAAAAACAAGTCGCTGTAACCGGTAAATCACTTTTATCAACAACCATGGTCCTGTACAAATGACTATCGTCGGGTAATGTTGCCTTATTTGAGCAGTGGGATTCGACGCAATACGACGACGAAGAGACCAAATCGAGAGTACGAGGAACTGTGGATACTGGCTCGGATCATCGGCTCTGAGAAAGACGAGACGTCGAAACGTTAGTTAAGGTTACATAACAACATCATCTAGGCTGAACAATCTAAACACATGTTGATTGAAGTGTTAGATTAAAAATCTAACATGGTGCACACGCAATTAGTTGTTGAAGGCGATGTATTGCTCTCTATAAACAGTTTTAAAAAGAGTGTTTGAGAATGTTCCAGCACTTGTCTGTTGAAAATTTAACAGTGGATAATAGCTAATCAGATACAATTTCAGATGTAACGCTTGAAGAGCATACCTCCGTTAGCAAGAGTGGCTGCCATTACACTCAGCGATTCACAGTTGCCTTCAATGGAGCACAGTTGAAAGTAGAAATCGATCGCATCCGTTAATGAAGTTGTCTTAAAGTTGTTGTTCTCAGATAAATATCACTCTGACTTCCGTACCATTGTGAGTAAAGAAAGAGCTCACCTCAGGTGGAAAGCATTTCATCTCCTTCATAAAATATGAAAGAGCATAGTTACGATCTGCTGTAGCTCGTTCAGACAGAAATCTGAACAGCATTCATGGCAGGGACAACAATTCAATCGTGGTTTTCAAGTCAGATCTAAGTAAAAATGCGAGCAAACATGTTTTTAACCAGGAGAAAGGCAATCAAAAAACTCATCCCAGAATTTAAAAATTCATTCCGTTTTGCTTTCGTTCTTACTCAACTACCAGATGAATATGATAGCTATATTTTCTTTCTCTTATTCTCGTTATATTTCAATCATTTCACTAAGTGTGAGCTTAGCGCATTGGTCGTGATGTCGATCATTACCAGCAGGATTCTGGTTGGACCTCAGCTAGGGCTCACCAAATGTCTCTAGTGGGGTACCAGACTTGCCCATTATCAACTAACTTCTTTCAATCCACACGAAAACGCTCTAGCGCATCCATGCTAGGATTCCAGAAATAATCGAATCTATCAGCATTCAACGAGATTCATGACGTAGACGGAAAATCTTCAAGCAGCAGCCGAATCTGCTCGTAAAAAGTTCGATGACCTTCATGGCTGATGGAGGCTAGAAACAAATTCGAATGCAAGAGAGTGCTAGGTGGAGTGTGGAGAATGCTTGCCGATATACGTGATATCAATATTTTGTTGTATTCTTAAGCTTGGTGGCAAGTGTAGCGCAGCAGTTAGAGGTGCCGTGAAATACACACGGGTTCGGTACCGCGCAACAAGGTCAGCAAAGCTTTCATCTATCCGGGGTCGACAAATTGGTACCATACTTGTTTGTGTGGATAGCAGCACTAACGTGACACTTTGATAGGCCGCTGAAAATCATTGTTTACACCAGATATGCATTTAATCACCCCTAACGATGCTTCGTGAAGTCGAATGTTTTTCCTCAGAAATGATCAGCGCCGAGAGCTTTATACCTCCACCCTCTTTTAATCTTAAGCCTGAAGGAGATCGGTATAGAGCAACAACGATATCGTGACAACGACCAACTGTAAGCGATTGACTCGGATCAAGGTGGCTATGAAGTATGAGAAACATTAGGCTAAGGAAAAGTTTTGAACTAACCTCGTGTAAACCTAAGAATACAACGGGAAATTGATTGTTTTTGCCGAGGTTTAGTTAAAAGCGGATTTTAAAAATATGTGCTGCCGAACCCTGCTAAAATATAGTTCATTTAATTGTTAAGCAGCAGTTTTGTCATTGACAATGTTAGTAGTCCAGTTGGAAAAAAATATTGCTCGCACCAAAATCGCACAGGATTTCAGTATAGGTAGAAGAACCCACGACTCAGTGAAACTCTTGTAGCCTCATTTCCTGATAGATTAGAAAGAGCAAAAACAGAGCTGAGAGAAAGGCAAAGCAAAGGAACCCTGTTTGCGTGATGGATAGTACTTGAACCTCTGGTAAGAGTAATCGCGGGCTCAGAGACCACATGGAGTCTTGAGTTTTGCTCATTTCTCAAAACCCCTGTTTTTGGATTCCGATTCACATTACATTTGCTTTGGATCGCAGTTTTTTTAGAGAAGTAGAAAAATCGTCTTTAAACGAAACCCGGAAGCGCTGGAGTAGTCTGTGATAATGTTTTAACTATTATAAAACGTTCAAACACTTTAGATAATTAGTAAGTGGTTAACACTTCATTACATCGTCTTACGGTGGGAACGAATATTGCATGAGTTCAGACGGATACACTATAGCCTCGCTCGTTGTAACGAATAATGTTCCACAAAGGTGGTTCTCCACTGAAGAAGGTTGGACTCGATACGACGACGAAGGTACCACATTGAGAAGATGAATGACTGCCATCGACTCGGAACATCTGCTCTGATGAAGACGAAGATATTGAAACCTTAGCCGAAGAAATAGGCGAAGCTATAACTTTTCAGCAATTACTTGGGAAACTCCTTTGTCATGTGAACCAAATAAGCTGTCATTAAATCCTTTCACATCTTCGAATTTTGCACTTCTCATCACTTTCTGGTCTATTTTGCGATGTGCTTAGCTTTACGTGACGTTCCGTAAAATGATTATTTTATAAGTTTTGCACTTCTGGTATTTCGTGCATTATAGCTGAGTAAAAGAGGAATTCAAATGCTGGCGTCTGTGTGGAGTCTCAATTTGCTAACAATGTTGTCGTGATTTCAATATCTAGCAACGTAGAATGGTTGTTGGTCATTATGGTGCGTTGAAAAAACGATCGGGTTTTGCTGGACTTAAAGGGAATGACGCTTGTGGGGAATGTATTCAGTTTATGTCTCCTTGTTCAGTTTCAATTTTAGAGTCTGGAGGAAGACAAATTTATATGCATTTCCGTTCAGCGAAAACAGTTAATAATCCCTATGAACACTCAAATCCTAAATTTCAATCGCAAGGAAAAGCGACTTTTCCAGAGGAAACGGACGGGTAGTGGCCTAAAATACGCCAATTGGATGATGGGACTACTGTCAATCATGGACCAAATTTTCGTTACGAAATGTCGGAGGCGTTGCCTCTGCCATACATGTATTTCCCATGTAGTTACCTCGTACGAAATCCTATCACCACGCTTGGCCATTCTTCGTCTCCAAATTGCGATTAAAAAGGGAAGTCAGTATCATCAACTGTTACTCGCACATTTGTACAGCCGATGACAGCCAATTAAGCACGTTTCATAACCATTTGGAAGCAGTAATTCACAGGAAATCTTTCCATAGTTTTGTCAATACCAGATTTGGAACGACCAGCGAAAATAAGTACGGGGTAAGAAAATTTGAAGTTTTCCAGAAGGCGTTACTCCAGTTCTGACATTTGTCAATTAAAAAAGGCATCGTTTGACAGTGTAGAAACGACTGAAATCCTACCAGCACCTATGGACCAAAAATGGACCCGTCCTACATACGAACACTACCATACTATCAATGGAACTGCAGCACAAAAACATACTCTTCCATTTACCCCTTACTATACATATAGGAAAAGGTTGCCACAAGCTGACACAATATCGTCAGAAATGTTTGTTGCTGAACACTAGTGGACAATGTAGTAACTCGATTATGACGAGAAAGGAGTAAACATTGATGAAAATTTTCTACAAAATCTTCTGATTTTGTTCGTATTTTTTTGAGCAAACGCGAGGTGTTATTATTCTTTGTTCACGATTAAGCTGACGTTTCGGCGAATTGACATTATACTTCCACGTGATTTCTGTGCGGTTGGTCTCTACGTGACATACTTAGTGGAGACCTCATAGAAAGCGGCT